TTTTGTTTTACAACACACAAGTCTTAATATTATTACATATTATACGCAGCCTTATTACACATTGTACGCTATATAGTATAGCCTGGCCCTAGGTGACTTGTCAACAGTCAGCATTGTGACATATTTGTACACTTTTATTTTACTGCATAACAGAAAATTAACTTATTACTTGCTTGGTTTCACACTGCGTCTAAGCAACTGAACCTGGATTGATGACATCTTATAGCGGTAATTAATAATGCGATTAGCGTTGCTCGCTTCCTGAAGTTGCAAACTCAGTTTGCAGATCCCGCTGTTTTTGAAAACGTGCGGGTCGTCATGCTATCTATTATGCATATTCTTAGGACATTTGACATATACCTATAATAGGTATTCTTAGAGTGAGGATGTGTTGTTCTGTTTTAAGCAAATTGAAAGGGGGGTGTGAATAACTTTTTTCTTCACGTTAGCATTTTAGGTCAGTGGTGTTCACCATAAATTTAGGTCGATTGTGACGTCAAAATGACGTAAATTTGGCCAAAATCCGCCATGTTTTTGGCCACACATTTTTGACTGACGAGGTATTGGAGCACGATCTCCAGATATATTAAGTATAGCTCAGTGACCCAGCAACAGTTGCAGTAGCTATTTAAATACAAAATACAGCATGTCTCGACTGAACATACTCATTGTTTACAACGCATCGTTGCCGTTCTACTGAAGCTAATAGCAAACCCAGAAATCTAGCTAAAGAGTAAAGAAGGCGGTTTCAAGAAGATTTATTTTAAAAATGAGTTCGCGAGATAAGACACGTGTTAATACAGCCACGCGAATGTTGGTGCAGGTACTTCGAAATAGATAAAAGCGCGTATGTACGTGCATTCAAAGGACGAAGTTTATTTAAAGACAGTATTGGTGGCAATGCACTGATAGAAGGGGTTGCAGTTATGATAGACTACGAAGGACAGGAATATCAGGCTGACATGCAGGCTACAATAATCAAACTCAATGGTAAGAGTTCTTTCAATATATTATAAATAGTTGCTTTTTTCTATAATTATATTGTTATTATAAATGCGTGCATGATATAGCTCGATATAATTAAGGATTGAGTAATAAGATACAATACGTCTTCGAGCTTTCCCATTGTATTGCTTCCCAACCTTCTGAATACATTTAAAATCGCAAAAATCTTGTTGATTCTGATTTTTAAAATACAGTACTTGCACTCGGCAAAGTCTTCGGGTTCCGCCGTGAGTTGCGCTCAAGCCTTACTTCGCCCACACAACCGTCGTTATTGGAAATACTGATCAACCGATGCATCCCTTCAAAGTCAACAACAAAACCAACTTACTCCAAAGATCCACTGACTGTAGCAAATGAGTTTAACAAATAGTTTTCTTCTGTAGGGTCATTGACTTTCCCAAAAAGTCACTCAATTGACGTTAGACCACAACATTGATATATCAAACTCATATTCTGATCACAGTCAATGTCCAGATGGAGAACAATTTAACTTCCGAAGGGTTTCTTGTTACGATGTTCAGAAAGTAGTTTTGTCCATGCCATCTAATAAATCGTCATGCAGGCATTGAACTGATATCAGTGCAAGTCCTTAAAGATAGTTTGCCTATTATTCTTCCCGTCTTAACTGGTATAATTAATTGTTCTCTCACTACTTCAATATTCCCTGCAATATTCTCTCACCACTTATTTAACTAAAATCAGGCCTATCCTTGAATATTGTTCTCCAGTGTTGTGGGGTGGTCTGCCACGATATCTAAAGGACGAATTGGAACGTGTGCAAAGGAGGAGTCTACGAATTATTGGCCTCCCGCATGGTTACCTGCCAACTCTCGAAGAGAGAAGAATTGAAGCCACATCGAGAGAACTCGATACTATCTTACGTGATCCAAGTCATATCTTTTATCAACGAACTATGGAACATAATAAACATAACTATAATCTTAGGCATAGAGACGGTATATTTAAATACGCACCTTTTTCAGGCACTGAACGACACAGAAATAGTTTTATCCTAGCCTAGTTCCTCGGCCTTTTCGCTTGCGCCTGATTATTAAGGGTGATTTTTTAGAGGCATGCGGGTTGACCGGGATTTTTTGGAGACTGGGGTGCAGCCTGCAAATTCCATGAAGCCTGTAACTCGCCCGCGGGTGGAAGGCCGAGGAACTAGGCTAGTTTTATCCCACGAGCAATGAGGCAGCTAGGGGTTGCATTAAAACTTAACTTGGTTTTTATAAACTTTTTACTAATTTCCTAGACTTTTAAATTTTTACTCCAAATTGTATATATAAAAATTTCCGATAGTTTGTAAATATTATTGCATGCCTATAGTTATGCTCCTCTCTTTTAATAGAGATTATTGTAAATCCATTGTATTGTTAAACTAAAGATGGATCAATAAAATCATCATCATCATCATGCCTGGAAGCGCTGGAAGAAATCAGTCTTAATTCCGTTACAGAAGGAAGGCGATCATGCATGCATGAAATAGCAAGCAACAATAGTCCTCTGTCACTGTTAGTAGTTGCCTCGAAGGTATGCGAAAATATTGCTTTAAATCAATTCGAGGGAGAGTTAAAATCGTTTGGTAGGTAACAATCGCATGTTAAACTATCAAAATTTTCTGACATATAGCTCTCATAATTTGGACAGTTTGAAATTCTGTAGTTGGTATCAAAAGGGTTAAATTTGAGTTGTGTTAGTCTATCCATATCCTCATCGCTAGGAATTCGATTGAAATCACCAAGAATAAAATTCAATTCTAAATCGTCAATTGAGTAAAAGGGAAGCGCGCAACTTAAACATATGTTGCAGATATCAACTTACGTTTGTTGGCATGCAAGAGGTAATTTTACGCATGAAGTGCGTGCGTGAAACCAACCCCCCCATGTAAGACAATTTAGGCCCCGTTTACACTATACCGGATTACTTTTCATACCGGATTAATTTTTACTCCGAAGTAAAAAATCAAGGGTGTTTACACTATGCCGCTTCGCTCTGTTGCCAGCTCATGTCTTTCACTGTCGCCATGGAAACAAGTAACCAATATACCAAAATTTATTAAAAACAAGAAGTAACACCCGTTTTCTTTGTAAAGTATAACTTTGTTTAAAAAGATTGACCACCAGACGTTGGTTCGTTTCGCTCTAATCCAAAATTGACGAGTATTTCTTTAAATTTTGCTCTTTCGAAAGCGAAAAGTCAATGTTATTAACATTTTCTTTATTTGTCTTCGGCACAAATAGTAAATGGTTGTAAGGCGTAACAAACAACAGCTATAAAGTATTGTAAAGCGAGCAAATAAAGGCGACAATGTTAAAACATACACGCCAAAATCAATTATGTACCTGTTTACATTGCTCCGGCACATACCGGATTACTTTTCATATCACCTCCAAAGCGGAGTGAATTTTGCTCCGCGTCGCGTACCGCATTAGGGAAAGTACATTTATTATGCCGAGGGGGGGATGAAGATGTTAAGGGGGGCTCCGAAATATTCTCTGGCATTAAAGGGGGGGCTCTGAAAGTTCTTGATATACTGAAGGGAGGCTCTAAACTTTTCAAAGGTTTGACCCCAGCAAATTAAAGTTAAAATTTTTACATCAGTTTCAGGTAAAATTTGCGTAATAAAGTAATTATTTTTGTGAAATGATAACCATTTTTGTAAAATACAGTCAATTTATATGCAATTTGTTTGCGAAATTTGCTTTAGAAAACGCCAGAAATTCAGTCTTAGAGCTTCGAAAATGTAAAAATTTTCTGGGGGAGGACCCCCAGACCCCCATTTTCTCCCAAAACTTAGTATAAGAGTGCCAATCAATCACAAAAAGCTTTATTATAATTATTACACGTATAATCCTCTGACATCCCCCTCCCCCCACCCCAAACGTCAGATGCTTTGCTACGTCCCTGATGGTTGTATTCGAAACCGATTTCAGTTTTAAGATATCCTTAGTCTGCTCTTTTAAATGGATACATGAAATCACCTATAGCTTATTTTAAATTTTTTTGCGCCAGGTTTGTGAAGTAATTTACGCAGTAAAAAGCATATACAATTTGCAAGAATGATATGTTCTATGTTTACGGGATATTTCGTACAAACGGGATGGAAATTAAAGAAATTGAAGCATACTGGCACTTTTGCATGCATTTTTGACAGGCATGCAAAGACATTTGCAACAGATGCCGGGAGATACGTTGGGTGGGGGCAACATACTGCAAGGTTCCAGCACATTACCCTGATCCAGGAAATCCTGGCCACTACATGAACGTGTTCAAGACTCCGAATACGCTGAATGATGGACAACAACAACCTGTTGATAATTCCACCCCTAGAGCCAATTTAAAATGTTTTAAAGACGGTGCCATTTCATCTGGCGCTAGTGAGATGAAAGAAGCAGCAGATCGGTAGTTTTGTTGAGGAGAAGCACTTCGGTATATCAGACATCTTGAGGAACTGCAAATTGTATCTATGATAAGAGAGAATTCCGGATTGTACTCCTTCGATTCCGAAATTTTAAAAACTTCGAGGGGGGAGGGCATCGAAATTTACCGATAACCTCAACAGGGGCCCTGTAAAAATATGAGCTTTTTTCAAGACATCTTCATCCCCCTCCCTCGGTGTAATAAATGTACTTTCCCTTACTGTGGCGTAGTGTAAACAGCAGCCGAATTCGGTATGAAAATCGCTACGCTCCGATGCAATCCGTTGTAGTGTAAACGGGGCCTTATACTTTTATGATTTTTATTTATTTCAAGAAAACAAGAAAAACATTTTTTCTTACGTAATGATAGATTAGCCATATCGACTTATAGATAAGTAGTAAAATAGTAGGAGTGATATACAGAGATTGGTAATAAATACTAATAATGACACTTAACTGGAAGGTTTGAACTCAACATTGTTTATATATAATCTGTCTCGAACCAACCGAACTCGGTGACCTTGCGCTTTAGCCTTCTTCATTTCCGGGTATAAAGTCTGTCTAATTTTTTCGATCTCCTCGGGAAATTGCTCTGCAATTCCAATATGCGAACCTTTTAGTTTTCTCGCATTTTGTCTGACTTGTTCACGGTCTTGGAAATAGTTAAATTTCACAACAATCGCTCTAGGTTTTCGTTGGCTAACACGTTTCCTTCCGACACAGTGGGAACGATCGATCTTTACCTAGTTTCTTGCGTCAAAAATCTCTAGATTTTGTTCTAGGATATCATAAATCTTCTCCGTTGTGTTTTCTTTTTCGTCTTCCTTTACGTTAAAGAAAAGCAGGTTATCACGCATCGATCGCGCTTTAAGGCCGACAACGCTTTCTTGTAGCCGACGGTTTGTATCTTCTAACTCGCGGATTTTCCTTCTATATTTTCCTCATCAGTCCGCTTCGTTTTCTCGACTTCATCTTTCAGATCGTTAACTTCGGCGTGAACGAATTCAATCGAATCTTTCATCTGTTTTACATCTTTTTCAACGCATAGAATGCGCTCCTTGATTTCGTCTAGAGTTTCCAATTTCACCATCATGGATTTCATCATTTCAAACATTTTGTCCATTTTATTCATATCTTGCTCTTTTTGATCGTTTTTTTTTGCTAAATTCGTCCGTATTATCATCTTTTCTATTTTTACTCATTTTTGCCTTATCACTGGAAGAAATTTGGGTAGATTTTGGCTCTTTTTTCGCTGTCTTTCAAAGCATGTTGTCAACATGCTTTGAAAGAGTGGAACTCGAATTCGATTCACTGAGCTAACGTTAATCATTATCCACATTAGTCACCTCATTACTATGCTGTTTGAGACCAACTTGTTGAACAGTGCCATTATTATTATTATCAATATTTAAACAGCATTTTTCTTCAGTACAAGACATTATCAATGAAATAGCTGTATAACTACAAGTAAAAAACAAATAAAAATTCCATGCACTAGGAGTCCTACAAACGTGTAATAAAAATTTTAAAATGTTAATATGCATGTTACTGCACCAATTGCTTCAAACTGCAGCAATTGCTGTCTCCCAGATAGGTAATCTTCAAACCACTCCAATTCCTTTCCTTTAATACCGTATTGGGGTAATTTGACAAGAAGAGTTGCATTTTCCTTAGGTCGATATAAATTGCCTCTGTGTATTGCCCTTTATATTATCCATACCTTCTCTTATGCGGTCAGTTAGATATGTGATAGCGTGTTTCGTATTGTGACCTTTTCTGAATCCAAACTGGTAAGAGGTGATGAGGTGATTTCTTTCTAAGAATGCATAGACTTGGTTATAAACCATACGCTCCAAGATCTTCGATGTAATAGGGAGTACTGATACTGGTCGGTAATTATCAAAAAGCTCATGGCTGTCCGCTTTATGAATTGGCGTTACTTTAGCTACGTATCTTCTCAGTTGTAGGAAACGTAGAGGTCACCAAAGAGCAGTTTATTATTCTATCTGAAGGGTCATTAACACTTGTAAACTCAGGTGCAACTAGTTTTTTAGATATGACGTTTTTGTTGTCTAATTCATAATTTTTTGTTTCCTCACTCATTAATAATCAAACAGTTTTCGGTTTGTACTTGAACTGCATTCGAATGGGTTGAAATAGGTTGTTGTTGACATTGTTTTTGGTCTTGAACATGGTTGGAGTTATTCCCAAGGAATTTATCTATACAAGACACTTCCCCTCTAATTCCACAATGTGTGATTTTAATTTCAAATTCTCTCTGCTCAATTTGCATAACTTTTGTTTACTTGTGTTAATAAATTGTTCTTGTTCGGAAAATTTAGCCAACAGACCTGCTATTTCCGATTCGACCTTTTCCTTGAATGTGAAAAAACGTGCCTCTATTGCTTCCGAGTTCTCGTCAACACGCTCCTGAAGTGGAGTAGATTTACAAAAGCTTGAGCAGAATTACTAGTACAGTCAGTAGCCCGCATGACACTCCATTATAAAATGAGTTATCAATAAAATCTTCAAGCTCCCTAAGCGTAGATTAAATTGGGTATCAGCAACCGATATTACATTTTCGCTTTCAGACATGTTAGACATGTTAGTTATGTCACCAACGGAGACCGTTGTGTCATCGGCCGAATATTTGTCACCTTCAATTCGCCGAGGCGACGATTGGACTTGAATTGGAGATATGGCTTTCGGTTCACAAACGTTTATCAAAACGTTTATCTCTCCTTACCCTGGCATAGAAGCGTTCTTTGTTTTCCGTAATACCAAGTTACTATCAAATCGGACTTGCTGCTTATAAATTTCTTTGAATTGCCACCAGGTGCAGTCCATTTGCCACTTAAACCAACAATATTTTTGAAGAATTTCTGCAGTTCATCATAATGATTGTTCCGTTTCAGACGTTTACCGTCGTAAGCAATGTCACAGTTCTCTTTATACGGTCGAAAAGCATCAAAATTCAAATTTTCAACACTAAAATTAGTAGTAAAATTATGACCGACCGCCATGTTTATGCATGTTTATGCATTAGCATGTGTTATCCGGGATGCAAAAAGACCTACCTCGAAAGGGCCCTGCCTGTTGAGCAGGGCTTGAAAAACTGACAGGTTCAGTTTACAGTGGCTGGAATCCTGTATTACAGTCTGGACTCCTGGTCGACAAAGAAAAGTTAAAACCCCAAATGATCCGAGCGAGCATAGATATGAGAATACCAAACCGATTGATAAAGCGCAGCCGATGTGCCCAAGCACCTAGAGTAGAAGATTTTGAGTATCATCTCCACGATTGCAGAATATTCACGAAGTTAGATCTACGACAAGGCTATCACCAACTAGCACTCGACCCAGAGACAAGGAAGATAGCAACATTCAGCACACCATGGGGAAATTACAGACCACGAAGATTGGTATTCGGCGCGAAATCATCGCAAGACGTGTTTGATGAATCGATGTTCCGAATATTTGGAGATATACCTCATTGCCTCAACCAAAGAGATGACATCCTCCTCGGCGGAAGGGATGAGAAAGAACATAGAAAAGTTTTGAGAGCTGCTCTTCAACGAGCAAAAGACTACGAGGTCATATTTGGGCACACCTTCACTAAAGACGAGCTGAAACCATCTTCGGAGAAGGTTAAAGCAGTAAAAGAATGCGAAGAACCGAAGAGCAAGGAAGAAGTGCGCAGTTTCCTTGGTATGACTGGCTACCTCGACAACTTCATTGAGAGCTACGCAACCATTGCAGCTCCACTGTGTCAATTGACAAGAAAAGAGACCAAGTTCCGCTGGGGAAAACAAGAAGAAAATGCGTTCGTGAAAATTAAAAACAGCATCTCGAAAGACACAACCATGGCATACTTCGACCCCAAGAGGCAGACTATTCTACGCACAGAGGAAAGTTTCAACGAAGGACTAGCTGCAGCTCTCCTCCAGAAGACTGACAAAGGCATGCAACCAGTACACTTCGTAAGTCGATCCATGACAGAAACAGAGAAGAGATAAAGCCAAACAGAGAAATATGCATTAGCCATCAAATGGGCCAAGGAGAGACTGAGATCGTATCTTCTCGGAGCACCGAAATTCCAGATAGTTACTGCACACAAGCTATTGGTACCTTTGTTTAACAAAACCAAAGCAAGGATGCCTCCAAGAATAGAAAAATGGGTGATTACTTCGAAATAATCTACAAGCCAGGAAAGGACGAGGCAGACCCTTTAGACTACATTTCGAGACTTCCTTGACCGGATACCGGAAACGACGACACATGAAGAGAAAATTGTCAAATGGACAGTAGACAGCGAGCACGCCGTAGTTGTTGGAAGAATACGAGAGGAGACACAGAAAGACCCAAAGATGCAGAAGATTGCTAAAAGAATAGCAAAAGCTGATTGGGAGAAACACAGACGAGATCCAGACGTTGAGCCACTCATACACGTAAAAGATGAGTTATCCGTTGCAGAAGGATTAATCTTCCGAGAACAACGAATTGTCCTGCCAGAAGCACTCCAGAGAAAAGTGGTTAAAGTTGGGCACAAGTTGGGACATTTGGGAACGACGAAGACGAAACAGATGCTGAGAGAGAAGAACTGGTTCCCTCTTATGAACAGTATGATCGACACAGCAATTGATCAGTGTTACGAATGCAGAGTAACAACCAAATTAAGATCATCCAAAAGAACCAATCAAAGTGACAAATATTCCAAGCAAACCATGGGATACAGTATCAATCGACCACGGGGAACCGTATCCGGACGGTCATTACAACCTTGTTATGATTGACAAGAGAACACGCTACCCGGTAGTAGAAGCGGTACCCTTAACCAATTTCCCAGCAAACTAAGAGAGAATGAAGCACATTTTCGCCACCTACGGTACGCCAAGAAGAATAGAAACAGACAACGGACCACCATTCAACTCCAGGGAATTTAAAGAGTTTGGACGAGAAGAAGGATTTGAACATTATAACATAACGCCATTGCACCCTCGAGCAAATGGTGAAGCAGAACGATTTATGCAGATGTTAAACAAGACGGAAAGAGTAGCCAACCTCTCTGTACCTCCCCTTGTTTGATACTGCCTCAGTAGATAAATCACAGGTGTAGCTTTGTCGAGTCACTGAGCCTTTTTTGGGAACAACGACCGGTGTTAATTAGTTTCCAGGTCGTTCGTGTAAGACTGGGGCGCACGCATGTGTCCCTCTATAAAGTACTGTATGCATGTATTGCATCAATAACCACGACAAGCAGACAACTTCAGAAAATATAAAATAAAACAAATTCCGAAAATAGACATCTTGTGTTCTTGATATTCAAGATATCTTTGGAATAAAGACGAAATATTACCGACTCTGTCTTTACACTCTTGTTTTTATCTTGAATATCAAGAACACAAGATGTCTATTTTCGGAATTTGTTTTATTTTATATGTATTGCATCAAGAAAGCTAAGTCGGTTATTTTGCACCATGAGAGTGGCTTAGCATGATGATACCTTGTCCATGTAGGGTGGAATATCACGCGTTTTGTTCTTTGTCATGTCAGAATACTAAAGATGATATCCAGAGATATTGCACGATATCCTACGATACTGTATGATATCCTCAGATTCTGCATGATATATCAAGATATTGTATGATATTCTAAGATACTGCATTATACCCTAAGATATAGGTATCCTAAGATATTGATATCCTAAGATACTGTACGACATCTATAATTAAGATACTGCATGATCCCTTAAGATATTGACATCCTAAGATATTGTATGATATTCGGAGCCAAACTCGACAGGTTTGGAGCCACTCTAAATAGCTCGGAGCCAAGTTCTCAATAGCACGGAGCCACTCTAAATAGCTCATAGTCATGACTATAGTCTTAATGGTCACGACTATAGTCTTAATGGTCATGACTATAGTCTTAATAGTCATGACTATAGTCTTAATGGTCACAACTATAGTCTTAATGGTCATGACTATAGTCTTAATAGTCATGACTATAGTCTTAATGGTCATGACTATAGTCTTAATAGTCATGACTATAGTCTTAATAGTCATGACTATGGTCTTAATAATCATGACTATACTCTTAATAATCATGACTACGGTCTTAATGGTCATGCCTATAGTCTTAATAGTCATGACTATAGTCTTACTGGTCATGACTATAGTCTTAATGGTCATGACTATAGTCTTATAATGGCCATGACTATAGTCTTATCGTTGCCATGGTTACCATGTTAATTACCTTCGGTGGTGAAAAATCAACATATTTGTAAACATGATATCTCAAGAAGTATGAATGATAAAAACCTAAAATAACTTTTATTTAAAGTGCCTATGACACGAAATTTCACCCCAAAGGTTTATGGTTGCATTGTAAAGATCACTTAAAATGACTTAATAACTTTTTTATAGAATTTTGGTAACTCGCTTCCTTTTCACGATATTCAACTTTGTTTCGTATGCAAATATCACCGGTGTGACATCACATCACATAATGAGTTTTCAGAAAAGTATAGTTTTCTTGACGAATACGTATCTAAAAAACTTAAAAATTGCCCTTGTATATGTATTTGTTTCATAACTGGTCATTAACTCTCTGTATTTGTTTGTAAAAATATTTTATCAAGGTTAAATATTGCGTTTTCAAAATCTCATTATGCTATGTGATGTCACACCGGTGATATTTGCATATGAAACAAAGTTGAATATCTTGCAAAGGAAGCAAGTTATCAAAATTCTATAAAAGAAATTATTAAGTCATTTTAAGTGATCTTTACAATGCAATCATAAACATTTGGGGTGAAATTTCGTGTCATAGGCAATTTAATAGTATATCATATACTCTTGGGGATGAACTAGAACTATGGTGATTGAAGCCAAAATAATTTTTTTGTGGACAAAATATTGAAAATACATATTATCGGCATGATACTGACTATCACAACTTGAATGTTATTGCAGATATTTTTATGATTCTAGTTCATCCCCAAGAGAATGCAATAGAGAAGCTACACTGAAAGTTTGAAGTCAATAGGTTAAATACTCTTGAGATATTGCGCATCCGTCAATGGATCATCTTTGCCAGCTACCATCACATGAGACACCACATTGGGTTATTTGACCAGGATTTTCACCATGAACCTCAACAGCTGCATCATTCATCGATTTGGTAACAACAGAGTTGACAGCTTTTGATAAGGCTATATTACAATCTCGGTATGCTTTGTGGCATGTTCATGTGTAAAGGACATGCCTCTATGAAAAGATTCTGTACCAATGGATCGCATCGCATAAACAAGCCTTTTATTCACATCAAAGTATTTCTTTGCCTTGTTTGAAGAATAAAACGAAAAAACCCAACCACATTCCTCGCATCGCAAACGGAGATGAGATGCACAACCCTTACGTTCGAATTTTTTATCTTCAAGCACGAGGGATGAGGATTCACCACATTCTTTATAAACTACTTGCTGAAAAACTTCACTGAGAATTTCTATATCAATGAAAAGATAGCCTGTTGCATTTGGCGATTCTTTGAGCCAATTCGGCGATTCTATGACGTTGATTTTTCGCGATGAAGCTGAAACACGTGCACTGGAAGTTGATTGAGCATTGGCGTCATTACTGTCAGCACAATTTTGGTGGGTCTCATTTGTACATGATTTCTTTGCATTTTTAACAAATCTATTTCCACTAAATCGCCAGCTTTTTTGCCCTTGAATTCTCTCTTGCCTTAATAACAGACAGGGAAACAATTTCAGATTATTCGGAAATAAGCAAAAATTTGGTGTAATAAATCACGAAGAGAGAGAAAATTATGACGGGTGATTACTGTCAAAATGTTATTACTAATTTGCGATGGTTTTTAATGTTTTTAATTTTATGGACCACGTCATTTTCTGGGACCGAGCCTACGTCATTTTACATTAAACCTGATTTTCCATTGTTTTACATTTTGTGACAAACCCAATTTTTTGTCCTTAGTTCGACTTCTGTGACAAAATGAGTTTTGTAACACAAACTGAATTTTGTGACCAACTGAATTTTGTGACAAACTGTTTTGTGTCACGGCTGAGAAGAATGGTAACCAATATCGGACGCTCTCACGTACCCCGTCTTATCCTTTCTTATCCCAAACGCTCTCCACCGCAGTCACTGATCTGAAATAAGTTGGATAACGCAGCTATAGTAAGCATGCAAAAGTGGTAGTTTTTCGCGTTTT